ATGGGGAGGGGTCCCCAAGGGAGCACCCTGGGGGTGGTGGGGATGGGGAGGGGGTCTGGGTGAGCTGGGGGAAATGGGGTGAGGGGTGGTTTGGCAGCTCGGGCAGGGCAGGTGAGCAGGCCAGGAAATCCAGATTAAAACCTCAGGAAATTCAGATGAAAACCCCAAGAAATTCAGATTAAACCCCCCAAAACTCAGATGAAAACCCCGGGAAATTCAGATTGAAACCCCAGGAAATTCAGATTTAAAACCCCAGGTGAGCAGATCAGCTAGAGCAGATGAACACCTCAGGAAAGAGGAATGGGCACCCCTGGAAATTCCAGTGAAAATCCCAGGAAATTCCAGTGAACACCCCAAGGAATTCCAATGAACCCCCAGGAAATTCAGATGGGCACCTCAGACTCAGCACTGGGGAGCCCCAAATCCACCTGAGGTTCTTCCAAAATCCCCTGCACTGCTCCAAGAGGCGGGAGGGGGTTTGGGATGAGATTTTTAAGCCCCTTTCCAGCCCAAAGCAGTCTGGGAATTCTGGAATTCCATGGGCAAGGTGTACCTGAGGATGGGAAAGCTGGACCTGAGGATGAAGGGGTTGTGCCTGAGGATGTAGGAAACCTGTTCCAGAGGGTGGGAAAACCATTCCAGAGGGTGGGAAAACCATTCCAGAGGGTGGGAAAACTGTTCCAGAGGATGTGTGAGAGCTGTACCTGAGCTCCCCTGGGCACAATTCCCTCCCAATCTGGGTCAGCGCAGGAAGCAGCGAGCCCCAAACCCGGCCCAGAGCGGGAATTACGCCTTAATTGTTTTCTCTCCCTCATTAACAATCTTCTCCCAGGGTTTTGCGGGAATGAATGAGGGAACAGGGATGGGAATTGTACCTGGAGGAGGAGGGAAGGGCAGGGATTAAGGAGAGGTGGAAGCTCTGCTGCGATCCTTTACACAAACCAGGAAAAGCCGCCGGGAACCCAAATTTGGGCCTTTTAGCGGCAATTCTGGGGTTCCCCCGCTGCATCTGAGCTCTCCCTGCTGTTTGGGAGGCTCCAGCCTCATTTCTGGGGGTTAATTGAGCTCCAGGCAGGCCCGGTGCCCTTCCAACGCTCGCTAATTTCCCTGGCGAGCAGCAGGAGTCAAGCGGCTGTTCCATTATTTATGGCCGCGATGGAGGGGAGGGCGCGGGGCCGCCTGAACGCGCTTGGATAAAGTGGGAAAGGCGGAGAGGGCAGAGGGAATGGCCTGGAGAGGGATTTGGATCCTGCTCCCGTTCCTGGTGATGATCAGGAGTGGATGGAGCCACCCTCGGGCTGTTCCAAATCCCTGAATTCCCAAATTCCATCTCCCTGAGAGCAGCAGTGACACCGCTGGGATTCCACAGATTCCCAGATTTCTCCCAGATTTCCCAGGAATGTTGCTGTGGAGCGGGATTTGGATCCTGTTCCTATTCCCAGTGATGATCAGGAGTGGCCGGAGCCGCCCTTAGGCTGTTCCAAATTCCCAAATTCCCAAATTCCCTAATTCCATCTCCCTGAGAGCAGCGGTGACACCGCTGGGATCCCGCAGGGAATGGAGACATCCCAGTGGGATCTTTCCCTCCCAGATTTCCCGGGAATGTTGCTGTGGAACAGGATTTGGATCCTGTTCCCATTCCCAGTGAGGATCAGGAATGGCCGGAGCCACCCTTAGGCTGTTCCAAATTCCCGAATTCCCGAATTCCTGAATTCCCAAATTCCCAAATTCCCTAATTCCATCTCCCTGAGAGCAGCGGTGACACCGCTGGGATCCCACAGGGAACGGGGACATCCCAGCGGGATCTTTCCCTCCCAGATTTCCCGGGAATGTCGCTGGGCTCGGAGCAAACCCTCCCGCTTTGCTCCCCCTCTCCTTTCCCACATGAGGGTTTCCAAGTGATCCCCAAATTCCGCAGGAAAAAGGCTGCTGCCTCAGTACAACGACAACTCTGGGATCCTCTTGGTGGAAAACCTGGAATTCCCGGAATTCCCATTATCCCCAGCACCGGGGCGGGCAGGAAGGGGGGGCACAGTCCCAATCCTGGCTCCAGCAGGATCCAGCCCTTCCCATTCCACGTGGAATTTTTCACGTTCTGGAAGATTTGGGACCATCTGGGATCCAAGCATGGATTCTGAGGAAGGAATGCCTGGAACAGCGGGATCGACACTCCAGCAGCCTCCAAGCTGGAGCTTTCAAAGTCCGGCCGATGATTATTTATTTGTGTATTTCTATTTTCATCTCCATTATTTACATTTTTTCTGTGGCTGCTGGGGTTTGGGGAGAGCCTTTCCTCCCCCGAGAGCTCCTTGTCCTGAAATCCGATTTTTCCCAATTTTTTCCTGGAGTTAAACCCAGCAAAACCTCCTGGATTTACCCTGAAATCAAAGGTGGGAGAGGGGTGAATTTTTCTCCTGCCTGGATCAGGGTCTTTCTGGAAGGGGTGGATTGGGATAAACCCATCTGAGGGGTCAGTGGTGAAGGGCATGGGAATATTCCCATTTTCCCAAGGAATGGTGTGGAAAACCATCCTGCAATCTGTGGTTTTTTTAGTTTTTTAGGGTTTTTTGGTTTTAGGTTTTTTTTAGGATTTTTTTTTGTTTTTGTTTTTAGAGGGGATTTTTTTTTAGGTTTTCAGGGGTATTTTTAGGTTTTTAGAGGGCTTTTTTAGGTTCTTAGAGGGTTTTTTTTAAGTTTTAAGGGGGTTTTTAGGTATTTTTAATGGTTTTTAGGGTTTTTTAAGGGTTTTTTTAGGTTTTCAGGTTTGTTTTTTTTTAGGTTTTAAGTGGTTTTAGGGCATTTCGTAACAATAAAAGAACCCAGAGTTGAGTGTGGACCCCAAATCTTCCAGCCTCGAACTCAGTGCCCATCCCCATGGAATTCCCAATCCCAGTTCCCTCAGCTCCCAGAACCCTGTGTCAGAACGCAGCCCTGACCTCCCAAGCAGCCCAAATCCCCCAAACCAATCCCAAATCCCCTTTTCCTTTAATTCCTGACCCATTTTGCTTTCCCCTCCCTGGGAACTGGGGCAGGATGGGGGGTGCCTGTCCCTGGAGCTGTCCGAGATTATTCACCGCCAGCTTTAATTTGCTTTTTCCTCCCTTTTTTTCCCTCCTTTTCCTCCCACCAAAGGAGAAGAATTTTATGAAGCCTCCCCGTACGAGCCGGTCACCTCTCGTCTCTCTGATATATTCAGACTCGCTTCAATTTTCTCAGGTAATAAAAGCGCCGTGTTTTATCTCCTGCTGCCGAGGCAGAGCCGTTCCCAGGCAGGGAAAACCTCCCCCTCCCTCCCAGGCCTTCATCCCTCGCTCCTCCATCTCCTCCAGCCTCTCCTTCCCTCCCATTCTCCCCGGATTTGGGGCTCCCCAGAATCATTTTTGGGGCTTGGATGCATTTTGGGGTGGATTCTTTCTGTTTCAGGCCGGGATTTAGGATTTTATCTCTTGGCCCCAGCTGCCTCCAGGTTGGGTTTATACAAAATTGCTGGAAAACCTGGAATTCCCGGAATTCCCTTAATCCGTGTTGCACAACCCCAGCCCCAGCGGGGTGCAGCGGCTCCGTTCCACGCGGAATTCTGGAGGATTTGGGACCCTCAGGATGGGGTGGAGCTTGGGGGTGCCCGTTTGCTGTTCCCTGCCTTGGGCAGCAGCCTCGAGCCCAGCTCTGGGAATTCTGCTGGGAGAGGGGTGCTGAGACCCCTGGAGCATCCCTGTGTCCCTTTGGAGTATCCCAGTGTCCCTTGGAACCCTTTGGAACATCCCAGTATCCCTTTGGAGCATCCCTGTGTCCCTTTGGAGCATCCCAATGTCCCTTGGAACACCCCTGAGCCTTTTTGGAGTCTTTGGAGCATCCCTGCATCCCTTGGAACCCTTGGAACATCCCCATACCCCAAAGAACATTCCTGAGCCCTTTGGAATCCTTTGGAGCATCCCTGAACCCCTTGGAAGATCCCTGAGTCCTTTAGAGCAGCCCCGTGTCCCTTTGGAGCATCCCTGAGCCCTTTGGAATCCTTTGGAGCATCCCCATGTCCCTTTGGAACATCCCTGTGTCCCTTAGAACATTCCTGAGACACTTGGAATGTCCCTGATCCCCTTTGGAGCATCCCTGATCCCCTTGGAGCATCCCGGTTTCCTCCTCCAGGGAACCCAAACTCCGCCACCACCGGGAACTTTGTTTTTCCCACCCATTCCCGTGACGGCGTTTCCGGGTCACCCCTCAGCCCCTTCCCAAATCCTCAGGGCGCTGCCTCGGCTCCTCCTCGCTCCTCCTGACCCTTCCCAACGCTGGGATTTGGGGGGGTCCCGCTGTCCCCACACCTGGGGACACCCCCAACTCACCTGGGGCACCCCCAGCTCACCTGGAGCACCTCCAGCTCACCTGGGGACACCCTCAGCTCACCTGGGACACTCCCAGCTCACCTGGGGGTACCCTCAGCTCACCTGGGGGTACCCTCAGCTCACCTGGGGACACCCTCAGCTCACCTGGGGACATCCCAGCTCACCTGGGCACACCCCCAGCTCACCTGGGACACCCCCAGCTCACCTGGGGACAGCTCAGAGCGGGGCTGGCACCTCCCCCCGCCGCCTTTCAGGCCCCTCCATCAGTTTTCCCGGCTTTTCCAAGTGAATTTTCCCACGGGTTTTTGGGATGACGCTGCCATCCCCCACTCCCGTCTCCTTTCTGGGATTATATTGGAGTCAGGAAAACGTTGGAGCTGCTGGGAAGAACAGGAATTTAGGTGGGGAAAAAGAGGATTTAGGTGGGGAAAAAGAGGATTTAGGTGGGAAAAGGAGGATTTAGGTGGGGAAAAGGAGGATTTAGGTAGGGAATAGGAGTATCTGGGTGGGAAAAGGAGGATTTAGGTGGGAAAAGGAGGATTTAGGTGGGGAAAAGGGGATTTAAGAGGTGCTTAAATTGGTTGTGCAACCCCCGTGTAACCCCCGCGTAACCCGCGTGTAAAAAGCGCGGATCACCCTCCCCAGGCAGCGGGGGCAGAGAATCCTGGGATGTGAATCCCGAGGAAATCACAGCCTGTCGAGCTCCCGTTGGGAATTCTCAAGCTCTGGGTGGGCATCCAGCCCTTCCTCTTTCTCCTCTTTCTCCTCTTTCTCCTCCTCCTCCTCCTCCTCCTCCTCCTCCTCCGCCGCTGTCCCCGGCGGCCGTGGGGACCCTCAGAGGGGACAGCTGGTGGCCCCAGCCCCCGGCCCCGCTCCTCGGGCCCCGTTTCCTTCTCTGCTCATGAAATTTTCATGCTCGTGCTTTATTAATGAGCTCCCCAGGAGCGCGGAGCTTCCAAAGCCGCGGCTCCATTAAAATGCAGCCGGGTCCCTGCAGGTCTCGGGCAGGGCAGCAGCGATGCTCCCGAGGATGAGACAATGGGCTGGAGCTTCCCACGGATCCCAAAATCCCGGCTTTGTGCCGGAAATCTGCTCGCCATTCCCAGGGCTCGGGGCCGGGGTGACCTGGGCTGCAGGGAGGGCTCAATGCATCCCCCAAAACCAGGGGAAGTGAAAAGAGCCAGATATCCCAACCTCTTACATCCCTTTTTCCCGACCTCTTCAATCCACTTTTCCCCACCTATATCCTCATTTTCCCATCCCTTAAATCCCCCTTTTCCCCACCTATGTCCTCCTTTTCCCATCTCTTAAATCCCTCTTTTTCCCCACCTAAATCCTCCTTTTCCCACCTCTTCAATCCCCTTTTTCCCCTCCAGCTCTTTCCATCCTCTGGAGAAAATCCAAACCCTGCCCCCTCCTGGATCTGGGGTTTGGCTGCCAGGGCAGGGGTGAACCCTCAAACATCTCCAGGGGCGTCCAGCTCTGGAACGACACCTTTGGCACATCCAGGGCTGTCTCCAAACAGCTTTTTCCCCTGGATTTGGGATCTCCTGTCAGCACAGCCTGGGTGAAGGGGACAGGGGAACCTTTCTGGTGTCACAGCATGGGGTGGCACCGGTGGCACTCAGCCCCAAAAAACTCCAAATGTCCCCCAGGGGCAGCAGGAGGTCGGGATGGCACCAGGAAGGGGCTTTGCCTTTTAATTGGGATCCCTGGATCCTTCAGGATCCCTGGATCCTTGGGATCCCTGAATCCTTGGGATCCCTGGATCCTTCAGGATCCCTGAATCTTCAGGATCTCTGAATTCTCGGGATCCCTGAATCTTCAGGATCCCTGAATTCTCAGGATCCCTGAATCCTCAGGATCCCTGGATCCTCGGGATCCCCGAATTCTTGGGATCCCTGAATCCTCAGGATCCCTGGATCCTCGGGATCCCCAGCAGGGCTGTGCTGGTGGCTCTCAGCTTGGGGACAAAGGAACAAAAGCCCCCTCCCCTCCCAGCACTGTCCCCTTCAGGGTGGCTGGGGGACACCCAGGATTTGCCATTTGCTAATTAGCAGCACCCTGCAATTAGGCCAATTAGGAGCCAGCAGAAGCTGGGAGCCGGCGGAGGAGAGTCCATGGATTTGGCTGTGGAGGGGAAGGAATGAAGGATGAGGTGGCTGCAGCAGCAGCACCTGGGCCACGGAGCGTGATCCATCATTCCGAGTAAAAAAAAAGGAAAATTCAGCGTTTGTTCCAGGCTGGGGCTCGGCCTCGTCTGTCCTCTCCTGAGGGAAGGAATTCCCGGGATGGATACGGGATTGATCCTCTCATCCCTTTCATCCCTGTCTGGAGCTGTCCCAGTTTTGGGGAGCCCCAGGAGGGGCTGTGGGGGCCACAGTGGAGTTGGGTTGATTATTCTGCTTTTGGAGCTGAATAATTATTAATTAATAATTAATAATTAATTCCTCTTTGAAGAATTGACAAAAAGAAAGAAATATTGCAAATTCACAGCCTGGATTCTGCCCAGAGGGCTTGGGGGGTGTTGATCCTACAGATTGTGCCTGGAATGGGATGGGATCAATCCCGGGCTGGGCTGGAGGTGGAGGGAGGTGACACCGATGCCAGAGGGGTGGCACTGGTGCTGTCACATCTTCCCCAGGTCCAGGGCATTTCCCCACCCTGGTTTTGAGGAATTCTCCCCATCCCAGGCTCAAGGGTATTTCCCATCCCAGGTTTTAGGGCTTCTCCCCAGGTTTTAGGGATTTTTCCTAGGTTTGAGGGCCTCTTCCCATCCCAGTTTTGAGGGCATCTTTTGAGGCCATCTCCCCAGGTATGAGGAATTCTCTCCATCTCAGTGTCAAGAGTGTTTCCCATCCCAGGTTTTAGGGCTTCTTCCCGTCCTAGTTTTTGTGGAATCTCCCCAGCCTTGAGGGAATCTCCCAATCCCAGCTCAAGGGAGTTTTCCCATCCCAGCCTCAAGGACATCTCCCCAGATTTGAGGACATCTCCCCGGCCTCGAGGACATCTCCTCAGCCTCGAGGACATCTCCCCGGCCTCGAGGACATCTCCCCAGCCTTGAGGACATCTCCTGGGGACAAGAGCATTTCCCCCACCTCAACCCCATCTTCCCAAACCACCTCCCACCTTTGAGGGCACCTCCCCAGCTTTGCCACCACATCCCACCCCTCCTGTCCCCATCTTCCTGACCCGTCTCCCTCGGTGTCCCTGGGCAGGAATGGACCCGGCCACCACCTCCAAGAGCAACCACTGCCTGGACGCGGCCAAGGCCTGCAACCTCAATGATAACTGCAAGCGCCTGCGCTCGGGCTACATCTCCACCTGCAGCCGGGAGCTGTCGGCCACCGAGCCCTGCAGCCGCCGCAAGTGCCACAAGGCCCTGCGCCAGTTCTTCGACCGCGTGCCCGGTGAGTTCACCTTCCGCCTGCTCTTCTGCTCCTGCAAGGACCCGGCGTGCGCCGAGCGCCGCCGCCAGACCATCGTCCCCTCCTGCTCCTATGAGGACAAGGACAAGCCCAACTGCCTGGACCTGCGCAGTGCCTGCCGGATGGATCACCTGTGCAGGTAAAGGGTGTGAGGGGGTTCTTCTGGCACGGGTCAGGTGTTGGGGTCACCACCTTGGCATTGGTGTCACCAGCCAGGCATTGGTGTCACCACCCTGGCGTTGGTGTCATCTCCCTGGCATTGGTGTCATCCTCCCAGTGTTGGTGTCACCTTCCTGGTGTTGGTGTCATCTTCCTGGCATTGGTGTCATCCTCCCAGTGTTGGCGTCACCAGCCTGGCATTGGTGTCACCACCCTGACGTTGGTGTCACCAGCCTGGCATTGGTGTCACCACCCTGATATTGGTGTCACCAGCCTGGCGTTGGTGTCACCACCCTGATGTTGGTGTCACCACCCTGGCATTGGTGTCACCCTCTTGGCATTGATGTCACCCTCTTGGCATTGATGTCACCTTCCCCATCAATGTCACCCCCCCAGCATCGGTGTCACCTCCAGCTCTCTTTTTCCCCGCATTTCCTCGGGAAGCGGCACCGGGACAATGCCCTGGGGAGATCCACGGGGAAAATCCCAGGAAACAGGGATGGAGCTGCATCCCCCAAAACCTTCCTCGGCTGCCAAATTCCCACTCATTCCCCCTTGGAAGCGCAGAGCTGGGAGCCGAGGCTCCTGTTTCTTATGAAACCCATTTGTCACAGGGCACAACCCCTCCTGCCCCCCTCAGCAGCCGGATCCGCTTCCCGACGGCTCCGGCTCCTGCCGGGAGCGGGATCTTTCTCCCATCAAGGTGATGGAGTTTCCCGGCGCTCGGCAGGGAAATAAATGCGAGCTCCGGGTTTTCCTCAGGCTGCGAGCGGAGATGTTTGAAATGTGGGAATGTGGCTTTTTATCAAAAAGTAATCCAAGGAGCCGGTGTCCATGAATAAAAGATACCCGGGAATGGCAGCTCCTCTCCATCAGCGCACTCCGAGGTGGATGCTGCCGACGGATCCGCGCTTGGAGAGGGATAACGGGGCTGGGGGGGCTGCAGAGGCCACGAGCTTTAATTCCTGCATGGAATGAAATCCCCACACAAGGAGGGAAAGGGGAAAAGGGCGGCAGCTGCTGGGAGCGTTTGCTCCAAGGTGGAAATGTGGGGTTTTTTTGGGAGAAGCGTGGGAGAAGCTGGATGGGGGCTCTTGCTCTGGAAAATACCCAAATCTGGGATTTATTTGTGTTGGTTTTGCTGTAACCTCAGGGATTTTTTTTCCTTGGGATGGGGCATGGATGCACTCCTTGGGTTTTCAGGAGAAAGCCCCGTTCCATCCGCTCCTCTCTGGCAGCTGGGAATGATGGGACACAAAACCCCTCCGTGTCCCCTCATCCCAAAGGAAAAGGCAGTGCCGTGGCATTTCCCGTTATCCATGAGTTTCTCAATCCCACATCCCAGCCCGATGCTCATCCCGATCCGACAGGGGCCTGGTGAGGGCATTGGAGCCGGAGCAGATCCCGAGTGCTCCCAGAGCCGGAGGTGACAGGAGATGAGATAATTCTCCTGCCAGAGTAATTAACCTGCCAGGGTAATTAATTAACCCTCCTGGCTCAAAGCCTAATGAGGGAAAACCCTCTGTGCCGGGATAAGATTTTCCAGAGGGATTTTTCCTGCATGGAGGTCGATCCAGCGGCTGCTGCTCCTGCAGGACAAGATTTCCACCTCTAAAAGAAGCAGAGGCATTGGAGGAGAGGGAAAATGATTATTCCAGTATGGAAAACAGCCCTTCCAGAGCTTTTCCTGGCCCTCCGTGCTGTTTTCCAGCTGTGTGGGGCTGCTGGGCTTGGACACCAGCCCCGTCCCCTTGGCCACAAAGGTCACAAGGAAGCCACGGGATGCTCCATCCTGCCGGGAATGGCTCTGGATGTGGAATGCTCTGGATGCAGGAGGGCACAACATTCCCTGTTGTCCTTCCAGAGGCTCCAGGGTGTCCCTCCTCATGTCCCCTCAAGAACTCACACCCTGCCAAGGGCACAGGACGTTTGGAGTGCAGGATCTGGCTTACCCTGGGCTGAAATCCCAGGTTTTTTGCTCCATATAAATCCATTCCAGCAGCCTCGACCTGGCCGCAAATCCCACGGGAGCTGCCCCAGGACTCCAGGAGCAATCGAGCCGTGATTTGTGCAGCTCAGGAAGCTTTTCCCAGCTTTTCCCAGCTCGGGAAGCTTTTCCCGGCTCACAGGAGCCTGACAAAGTCCCGGAGTTTTTGCGGCTGATTGCAAGGGACAGGTTTTAGCTCCCGGAATACAAAAACCTTTGGCGAAGCACAAACCTCAGTGAAGGGGAAAGGGAAGGGAAGGGGAGAAAAGAGCTGATTTCAGCAGCTGCAGCTCGCTGGATTTTTCATCTTGCATCAGCAAGTCGGGAACACAAATAATCTGCTCTTACACGCTCCAGTGGTGCCGGTGCCGAAGAAATTCCCAGCCTCCACTGGCTGGAGCTCCTCGGCATCCAAAGTGGGGATGTTGGATCATTTCCCGGGTTTTTATCCCAGTTTTTGCTGTGTTTAAATCCAGGGGGGGGTCAGAGATGCTCCTCCTCCCTGGGATATTTGGGAGTCAAGGATTTTGGCCAAGGTTGGAGTGGGGGTGTTGGGTAATTTCCTGGATTTTTATCCCAGTTTTTGGTGTGTTTAGCTTTAGCTGAGGGGGTCAGGGATGCTGCCCCTCCCGGGATATTTGTTTGTCAAGGATTTTGGCCGGGGCTGGGTTGGAGCTTTGGCTCAGGAAGGAGGGAAGGAGATCCAGGCTGGCTGGGAATTGATGGAACGCCAAACACGGGAACAGAACGCGGCCTTTGTTTAGCGCAAACAGCCGCGATGGATGTTCCCTGGATAAACAGCAGCTCCACTTTCCCATTCCTCCCTGGAACCAGAGCCCCGCGCTCGCCTGCCGCGGAAGGAGAAGGGCAGGGAAAAATTGCTCCTGGATTTAATGGGAGCTGGGAGAGCTCGGGTTCGGAGGGGACAGAGAGTGGAGGAGCCTCCAAAGCCGGTTTGGGATTGGGGAATCTGAGAAAACCCCCAGGTCTGCTGGATTTGGGAAGTGGAGGGGCAGCACTGGGGGGTCCCTCACATGAGGACGCAGCTGGGGAAGAAGAAGAGAAGAAGCAGGGAAAAATTTCTCCTGGATTTTCTGAGACCCGGGAGAGCTCGGGTTTGGACAGGACAGGGAGTGGAGGAGCCTCCAAAGCCGGTTTGGGATTGGGGAATCAGTGAAAACCCCCAGATCTACTGGATTTGGGAAGCGGAGGGGCAGCACCCGGGGCTTCCCCAGCATGAGGAGGCGGCTGGGCTCGGGCTCAGCTCCCTGCGGGCTCGCCAGGCTCTTAGCACGAGAATCAATCAATCCTCGCTGAATAATTAACTCGAGAGGCTTCCCAAGTATTGACTTCATGTGACAGCAGCGAGTCTGGCTCGAGCCGGGCTTTGCTGTGTAAACACCATCTCCTGTTGGGCTCAGTTAGCGGCTCAATGGCACAGAACGGACCCGCAATTAAAATCAAACCACGCCTCGCTCCGTCCTCCCCCTCCCGGGGAGCCGCGGGGCTCCAGGGTTAAAAAAATCCCACCCAAAAAACGCCTTTGAGGCGCCCGGGGTCCGAACGCGGCGGCCGGAACCGCTCACGGAGAAGGGAATTGTTAATTAGTAACTCGGAGGTTGCGCTGGGTTCTTGTCTTAATTATTTTCCCTCTCGCTGGGTTTCCTCTGCTTTGGGAATTTTTCAGTTGGTTTGTTGTGGGTTTGGATTTTTCCTGCTGTGTCCGTATCCCTGAGCAAGGAATGGACATTCCAGAGGTTGGGAAAGCCCTCTGGATCAGAGTCCAGCCTTGGATCCCGCGCCTTGTCCCCAGCTCAGCTCTGAGTGGCACCCCTGGGGTTCCTTGGATACCTCCAGGGACTTCTTGGATACTTCCAGGGGCTCCCTGGGCACTCCAGGGATTTCTTGGATACCTCCAGGCATTCCTTGGGCACCCGCAGGGGCTCCCTGGGCACTCCAGGGATGGCGACTCCAAACCCCCCCGGGCAGCTCCTTCCAAATCCTGACCCCTTCTCCACAAGGAAATTCCTCTGGAATTTAGGCCGAGAGCCTCAGGATGACGACAAGAATTCCTTTTCCCTCAAAGCCTCCCTGGCTCAGCCCAGAACAGGTGACTCCTCTCCCCAGACAACTTTTCCTGGATAAAACAAATCCATCCATTGATCTTTTTTCCCTCCCCTGTGAACTCCTTGCTCGATTTGGCAGCGGGTCATCCACAAAAGCAGGGTTTTATTCCAGCTTCCCTCATTCCTTCAGCTGCTCCAGCTCCCTGGGACTCTTTGAATTTACCTGGGAGCGTTTGAGGGGAATTTTTTTAATCTCAGCATCTCCCGGCTTCAAAAGAATCCCTCTCCAGCAGGACGGGAATGTTGGGAGGGCGATGCCCAGCGGGATTTTTGTGTCTCGCCGAGTTTTTTCCGTGTTGTCACAGCTTCCTGAACATGCTCAGCTCGGCAGGAGAGGGAGAGCGGTTTTTTCCCAGCTTTTTTTTTAGAAAAAAATTCCTTCAGCCCCTGTAAATTGCCCGTGAAAAAAAAAAAAAAAAATCCACCTCTGGAGGAATCCCGGCGTCTTTTCCATGAAATATTCAGGAGCAGGATGCTGTTGGATTGGATGCGTGCTGAGTTATCACCGCGGCTCGGGGGGGATGGGAGTAATTAACGCTCAATTAAGCTCTTAAAAAATAGCCAAAAAAAAAACCCCAAAACCTTCGTGTTTGGTAAATTTTGATGTCAGAGCCTGTGGGATTTTGGTGGTGCTGAATTCCTGCAGGAAAACAGGGAATGGGAGAGGAGCTGGAGGCAGGTGGTCCCTATAGGGGATGCTTGAAGTGCCCTAAATTTGGGATATGTGCGCTGGGGGTGGGAGGACAGGAGTAAAAATCCCCTAAATTTGGGATTTATGCTCTTGGGATAAATGTACAGGTACAAAAAAATCCCCTAAATTTGGGATTTATGCTCTTGGGATAAATGTACAGGTACTAAAAGTCCCCTAAATTTGGGATATCTGCACCAGGTGTATGTGTAGGAATGCACAAAGTCCCCTAAATTTGGGATTTATGCACTTGGGATAAATGTACAGGTGCACAGAACCCCCTAAATTTGGGATTTATGCACTGGGAATACAAGTATGGAATTAAAAAGGCCCCTAAATTCAAGATATTGAAGTCCAGGTGCCCTGCAGGGATCTTTGGGAAGCGTCTGGATTTGGGAGCAGGGCCTGTTAAACCTCAGGATCCTGGGGCTGCTTTTCCTGGCCCTTTTCCTCCAGGAATCCAAGAGGAGCAGTTTCGAAGCCCCTAATTGGGAATCCAGCCCTTGGAGAGGGTTTGGGATTGGACAATGCCCAGAATTAATTTTTTAATCCCTTTTCCACTCCTTTGGGGGTTTTTCAGGTTTTTTTGGGGGGCAACTCTTAGGAAAGTCCTCCTCCCCCATCCCTCATCCAGAGCCGGCTCTTCCCAACCTTTCCAGGCCATCCCCACCTGCCTCCTCCAGCTGCCAGCAGCAATTTGGCACCGATTCCTCCGTGTTCCCGCTAAGATGGACTTGGCTCTTTCCCTTTCCCTATTTTTCATTTCTTTGGAGCCTTTAAAAAGCCAAAATCCGCTGTGCCGAGGCCGAGCCTTTGTTCCTGGCAGCGAATCCCATCCAGCAGCTCCCGAAGTCCAACGGGAAGGGTGGCGTTTGGCTTGGATATTCCTGAAGGATTTCCCAGCTGCATCCTCATGGATTATGGAAGGAATAACTTTTGCCTCGGAGGATGCTCCGGGCTGGGAGTGGAGCCCTGGGGAGCAGCGGTGACAAATTTTCCTGGCGCTTGGCGCTGAACTCGCCATGCTTCCTGCGGGGAATTGACGTCCTTTCGCCTCGGATTTGGGAAGAGAGGGAAATGCTGTCGGAAAGTTTTATTCCTCTCCCGTGGAGAGGCTGGGGAAGGAGCAGGTTTTTGGATTTCTGCCATTCCCACCCTGGAGCTGAGGTTTGGCTGCAGGGAGGGAGGAGCATCCCCCTCAAAACAAAAACCCTGGAAAAGCTTCTCTGGGATTTGTGTGAGGAAAATCCCCATCCAGGAGCTGAGGATCTGCCCTGGGAATGGGAGTGGGATGGGAGCTCCCAGACCCTCTCAGCTCTGTGGGGAGCTTTCCATGGGCCGAGTGTCAAGGAAGGAAAATAAAGGTGGAAACGGCGCTCTCAGGATGAGGGAGTTTTATTTCCAGGAAGAAGGAGAGGGAGGAAGTTTCCTCCTTGCCTCATGCACCACAGCAGAGCTGCAGAATCCTGGTTTTTCCTGGAATTTCTGCTTCATCCCAAGCTCTTTCTCCTTCCCCATCCTCCCATCCCCATCATGGCACAGCCCCTCAAACCCACCCCCATTCCCTCCCTTCCCGAGGAGATTCCAGCTGTGTTTAATTGGGATCTGAGGTGCGGATAGCACGGCCATTCCCAGGATCCTGTCTCCTCTTGGGAGCACTCGGACAACCCAGCCAAAGAGCCCGAATTTCCCTGGAATTTCACAGCCTGTGTGGGGATGTTGGGAACGGGGCCCTTTTATTCCATTCAAAAATTCCTTCTGTCTGTGGAGGCGGTGCTGAAATCCCATTGTTTTCCCACTTTTCCTCCTCTCCAGATCCCGGCTGGCCGATTTCCACACCAACTGCCAGGCCACCTTCCAGTCCCTGACCAGCTGTCCCGGGGACAACTTCCAGGCGTGCCTGGGCTCCTACGCGGGGCTCATCGGTGAGTGCCGGGAGTCGGGATCGGGAATGGCTTTTCCCACTGGGATTTCATCCCCGTTCCCTCCTCCTCCTCACCAGGATTTGACATCACCCCCAACTACGTGGACGCCAGCACCACCAGCATCACCATCTCGCCCTGGTGCTCCTGCAAAGGCAGCGGGAACATGGAGGAGGAGTGCGAGAAATTCCTGCGGGACTTCACGGAAAATCCCTGTCTCCGTAAGGCGCTTCCCTGCCCCACTCCTTTTACCCCGTTTTATCACCCCCATCCTTCCTAAATCTCACCCCGCTCCCAGGAAACGCCATCCAAGCTTTTGGGAATGGCACCGACGTGAACGTGGCTCCCAAAAATCCCAATCCAGCCGTGACGGTGCTTCCGAAGGCGGAGAAGAGCCCGGCGCTGCCGGACGACATCAACGACAGCAACACCGCGTACGACACCAGCGTCATCAGCACCTGCACCTCCCTCCAGGTGCGGCCCCAGACTGGGAGCACTGGGAGCACTGGTGGGACATCGGCTGCATCCCATGGGATGGGAAAGTGTCGGACTCATCCCGGGGCTGGAAGGATCCGGGCACTGGTTGGGGTCTGGAATGGGGAGGGAGAGATTCCCCGCCCACCTTCCCCCTCACCTGCTAAGGTGACTCCCTGAGGCCGACTGCTCCTCGCTTGGGAGCTGGAATTCCATGGGGTTTTTTTGGGAAATCTGGAAAATCTGCAAGCGCTGGGCTTGGGCATCCATGTTTTGCTCCATGGGTGGAAAAGGAATGGGAGGGAAATGGGATTGGGGAATGGCTGGGGATGTTCCAGGAGTGCAGAGGAGTGGGATGGAGACTGGTGGGGTGTCCCAGGATTCCCGGCAGGATTCCAGGCAGGATTCTGGGCAGGATGACAGTGGGAGTGAAGCGGGATCTACTGAAGCCCCTGGGCTGCCTGTGGAGATGGGATGAGCCTTTCCCAAATCTCCCTGAGCTCCATCACCCTCTCTGATCTGATTCCTGCAGGGAAATTTGGGACCCCAAACCTCCCCGATCCAGGGGCACATTCCCACCCTAACCATTCCCGTTTCTCCTGCCAGGAACAAGGCCTGAAGCCCAACAAATCCAAGGAGCAGAGCCTGTGCTACTCTGAGGTACTCAGGGGATCCCAGGGCCGGGAATTCCATCCCAAAGCAAACAGCTTGGGAACGACATCCCGGCTTCACCGCCTGGAGGTGTTTTCCAACTTTGGGATGCTTTTCCCTAAAATCTCATCCCTGTCCCTCCTTCCCAGGCCCAGCTGACCACGGACGTGATGCCGGACCAGAAGACCTTCACGGATCCCAAGGGGGGAAGCAGCCGGCGCTGGGAGAGCCAGATCCTGCTCCTCATTCCCATCCTGATCCTGGCCTTGGGACTATAGAGGGGCGGGAAGGAGCGGCCGGTGGGACAGGGACGCTCGGACCGGCGCCCACCGGTGCCGCACTTGCGCCGGAGACTGGAACGCTCCCAAATCCCGGGAATGCTGAGCTCCGGAGAGGCAGGAGGAGCCCTCACCACGCTGGGAAACTTTGGTGGTTTTCTTCCTACTTTTCATTTTTCCCAGTTTTGTTTGGTTTTGGTCTTTTCTGGGTCGGTTTTCCGGAGCGGCTCCTGGGAAAACTCCTTGGAAAGGGCTTGGAATTGGGGTCTGGAGCTGCCAACATTGCCGGGGAGGGAAAAAATGTTGGAGAAAAGCTTTGGGAAAGGTGAATTTCAGGATTTTTTGTACCGGGGTGACCACAGGGACAACAAGGATTCTGCATGGGAACATCCCGGAGGATGAAGGTGCCATCGGGAGCCGCCTGGAGGGGACTCCCAGATCTCTTCCCATTGGTTTTTGGGGGATTTTGGTTGGGATTTTTCCTCGGAGAGTTTCCGAATGGAAAAGAAACTGGTGTGAAACGTGTAAGGTTGTGCTGATGTTTTCAATCATTCCAGGAGGAGAGGTTCCATTCTCCTTCTTTCTATTTTTTTTTCAGATTTGGAATTTGGGTTGGGAGTGGATTTTGACCCATCCAGGGTCAGAATTCCCTATTTTCCCTCTCCACTTTATTTCCCATATACACATAACATACGGATATTCCCATATACATAACCCTACCCATCCTGTGGCTTTTTAATTCCCATTTTTCTCTTTATTTTCTTGAATTTTTTTTATTATTTTTTTTTTGGTTTGTTTCTTTCAATTCCTATGATTCCCACAACTTCCAAATGTATTCTTGGAAAAATTATTTTTTTTAACGATGTCTATAATGGAAAAAAAACAAAAAACAAACCAAAATAAACCAAGGAGAACAAATCAAGAAATGAAACAGCCCCAAAATCCAAGATTCCATTAAAATCTTGATATCTGGTGGGGGGGAAAAATGGGAATCCTTCAGCTGCAGAAATACCAAAATTTGGGTTGGAATTCAACAATTCCCGGCTTTTTTTTTTCCTGCAGGAGACAACAAACAGGGAGGCATTCCCAAGGAGCTGCCACATTCCAAATTTTTGGTGGGATTTTGGGAATTTTTATGTACAAGAATGTCAGGTTTCAAATTCCAGCCCCTCCCTTGATGGAGTTGGGAAATTATTTCTCCCAAGAAAACCTGGCAGTGCTGGAAATGTTGGGATTTTGGGGCACAGGAAGAACAAGGGTCCGAAATTTCTTATTTATTTGGGATTTTTATTTATTTTGATGTTTTGGGAACAGCAATGTCAATTACCATCCAGCTGTGCCCATGGAAAAAGGGATTTTGGGAACCTTTGGAGCCTGGGGATGGTAAAATTGTGGAAACACAGAATTCCGGACTGGCTTGGGTTGGGATGGAGCCTAAAATCATCTCATTCCAGCCTCTGCCATGGGACAATTCCCACTATCCCAGATTGCTCCAGACAGATTTTGGACATTCCAGGGATGTGGAAAATGGCATGGAAGGATCCCAGAGCTGGAGCTGGAGCTGACGAAGAGGGGAGGGAGAGATGAACATTCCCTTTTCCATCATGGAAAATCCAATGGCGGGGATGTGGGATTTGGCACTGGGAACATAAATCCTATTTCTCCTGGAATTCCTTCCATCCCTGGAAGGGGTGGCTCTGAGCCAGAGCCAGGTGTGGGCTGAAAAAAGGGATTTGGGAGCTGTACAGCACAGTCTGGGATCGCTCCTGGGGGTGATTCCCAATCCTGGCTGTTCCCAGCTTTCCCAGTTTGGGCTCGGAGCCCTGAGCGCTGCCAGGTTTCCTTGGGAAAGAGGCTGGAAAATCCAGTGTGGATCCCTGGGTGTTTCCTTGAGAAAGCTGAGAGTGCTTCGGGCTTTTCCAGGAGTAGGAACTGCTTGGGAAGGTCAGGGAAGCATCTCCCTCCAGCAGCTGGGCACCAGCCAGTATTCCCAGTATTCCCAGTATTCCCAGTATTACTGGTATTCCCAGTATTACCGGTATTCCCAGTATTCCCTGCTCTGGAGTTATCCGCAGTGATCTGTGGAGATCCTGGGGTTACTGGGAACTACAGGGAATGGGGATTTGCTCCAGGATTCTCTCCAGGAATGGCGATTCCAGGATTCCATCTAGGAATGGTGATTCCAGAACTGGGAATGGGGTCTTGATCCAGGATTCCCTCCAGGAATGGTGATTCCAGGATTCCCTCCAGGAATGGCTGTTCCAGCATGGGAAGTGGGGTCTTGATCCAGGATTCCCTCCAGGAATGGCGATTCCAATATTCCCTCCAGGAATGGTGATTCCAGCACCTCTCTGTGCCAGGGTTTGGAGTCCTTCCCATCCTCCCTCCCCTCAGATTCCCAAAATCTCCCCAACTCCACCCAAAACCCAGCCCCTGGTGCTTCCTCCGTCGCATTCCCAGCACATTAATTACAGGAGAGGAGAATTCCCGTGCTTTGTGTGGAAGTGGAAAATGCTGGGATGTAAAACCCCGGCTGCCGGGATGGATAATTAACTCCGGAGATAATTCCCTCTTCATTTGGACTCAATTACTTTCCCGATAGGAGAAAGTGCTGAAAACACAATTTTTATTTTTTTTTTGGGACGCGGCAAAAAATAATAACGGGAAAAAATCCACTCAAGCTTCTCCTGGGAGAACTTTTCCTTCCTGGGATAAAGGAGAGGATAAATCCCAGTTAATGCTCCAGAATTCCAGCTTGGCATCGCCCTCCTGTCCTTGGAATGTTGGGTTTGGGGCTAAAAGGAGAATTCTGGGATTTTTAGGATGAATCAGCTGGAGTGGGAATGTCACAGGGTTTGCTCCAAGGAGGAATTGCTGGGAAGTGAGGCTTTTTTGCGGGATCATTTGGAATTTTGGAGGACTTTAAAGGAATATTTTGTGTCTCTGGGGTCATTTTGTGGTGCCTCTTCCAAAACTCCCACAAATCCTCAAATTACAATGGATAATTCCATGAGGAATTCCCCCATTTCCCACCTGGAATTCCCCATTCCCAGACATTCCTTGGAGCAGCAATTCCAAGGGGAATAAAAATCCATTTAACCTCTTTGGAAAGCAAAGCATTTCCTGGAATATTCTGCATGAATTCCCAATCTTTTCCCTCCTGGCCATGCTCAGATTCCTGGGAGCAGCCAAGAACACTCAGGAATTTTGGCTCCTTAAGGAATTTTTGCCTCTCCAGGTGTTTTTATTCCTTCTCTCTCTTCCCAGGGCTGTAAATCCCAGCCCGGCTCTTCCAAAGGAAATATTCCAGGAGTTTTTTTGCATCCAGGTTTTTGGAGTGGTTAAAAAGTCCCCGTGCTCCTTGGAGGAAATGCCAAGCAGTGGGAGCAGGGAGGAAAAAATAGATGGAAAAGGATTTTAGGGAGGGTTTTAAAAATAGAGGATCTTTGGAGGAGAAATCTGGGAAGACGTCAGGAGGGAGCCTCAAACCAGGGGGGAAAGAATTTTCAGGAAAATTGGGATCAATTCATTGAAGGATTGGGGGTGTCTTGGTGTTCTGTGATTTCTCCCAGCAGCTTCAAGTCCTGAAAATCCGAGGAAAAGGGGTGAAAATGTGGGAGAGGGATGGGAGGGTTTGCAGCTGTTTGGGATTGGAGGGGGAGCATGGCTGGATTTTGATCCAGAGAATTCAGGAGAGCTGGACAAGGGATGGAGGGACAGGACACAGGGAATGGCTTCCTGCTGCCAGAGGGCAGGGATGGATGGGATTTTGGGAAGGAATTCCTGGCTGTGAGGGTGGGGAGGGGTTGGGATGGAATTCCCAGAGAAGCTGTGGCTGCTCCTGGATCCCTGGAATGTCCAAGGCCAGGCTGGGATAATCCGGGAGAGTGGGAGCTGTCAGAGCTGGAAGTGGCTCATCCCCAAAGCCCCTTCCAACCCAAAGCATTCCAGGATTCCATGATCTCCTCTTCCAACAACTTCGCAGGACAGACCAAACCTTCCAGTGGAGGAGGTTCAAATCCCAGTAAATTCCAGTAAAATCCCTCTCTGGAGGCTCCTTGGAAAATAAAATCCCAGGAAAAATGACAGCCATGGAAGAGCTCCCGTTTAACCTTCGGCCACGGGAAGAAATCCACGAAGATGAGGAAAAGCTCCTGGGATTCACACGGGGTTAAATAAAGCAAATCCTGGAATGTGCCGGCAGTAATTCCCTGCCAGCTGGGACGCTACCCCGGAGTGGGAGTGGGGGCACAAGCGGCAGCCTTTTCCAGGAGAGGAATTCACAGAATCATGGAATGCTTGGGGTTGGGAGAGACCTTGACGCTCCTCTCATCCCACCCCTGCCAGGGGCAGGGACACCTCCCACGATCCCAGGGCGCTGCCTTCCAATTCCTTGGATTTGGGAGCCTTTTAAAGGGCTGGAAAACCGGGAAAAGTTCTCCCAAGCCTCTGTAGGGGGAGGTGTCGCTGTCACGGCCGGGGCAAGGCCTGCGTGGAGCCTTTTCCATGTCCTTTGGAATTATTCGGGAATTATTCTGGAATTATCCCTGCCTCCCGCTCCAGCTCTGCATCTTTGCATCTGTTAATTAGACTCGGTGGGTGAAATGAATCCCAGCCCTAATTCCCTGTCTGGATATTCATTATGGAAGCGGCAGCAGCAGCTGGGATGTCAAGGAGGATTAAGCCAGGAGCTGGGAAGTCACAGGTGGATTTCAAACCCGTGCATGGAAAAGCTGATGGATCCCTCTGGAATGGAACCTGAAAGCATCCCAACTTCCCTGGGACAGCATGGAAAATTCCTGAACCCAAAATCATCCCAACTTCCCTGGGGCAGCATGGAAAACTCCTTCCCAGTGCTCCCAAAGAGGGAATTCCCCCCAGGCTGGCCCTGAACTGGTCACGGTGTCCTGCTCCCTGTTTTTCTCGGGGATGATAAATGGGGTCGGATCCCTCAGCTCCAGGAATTCTCCCGGCCCCATTCCCAGACCTCGAGGCATAAAGGCAGCATTTTCCAGAGGATGCTCCAGGCCCTGGCTGATCCCTGAGGAGCCCGGGTGGGAACAAGGGCTCCGCTGTCTCCATCGGCCCCGTGGCCCGGGGTCCTCTGGATGACCTCGCTCGGCCACTCCTGGAGAAAATCAAGTGGATAGGAAGCGGGAAGGGGGAGAAAACTTCGGAATTTCCCCACTGGATCTGCTCCCAACCCCTCCCTGTGCCTGGATGGGGCCGGGGGTCGAGCATCAACCGCAACCCAGAGCATTTGGGAATCAATCCCGGCGCTGATCCCGAGGATTTGAGATGCGTTCCCAGCCCCATTCCCGGCGTCGGCAGTGCGGAGGCGTCCCGATATCCCGAATTCCCGAATTCCCGGTGTCCCGGGGAGGCAGTGCTGGGCCGGGGTTTAATTAAGCGCTGAACATGACGCCGGTTTTAATTCCGTGCGTTGGAGCTGCCCACACAGCCCCCGTTGCCACGGCAACGTTAATTTGTTTTGGAGCCTCCGCTCGGGTGGATTTGGGAATTTTTTTTTGTTTGTTTGTTCATCTCCTTTTCCTTCTCCCTCCTTTCCTTCCCTCTTTCCCTTTCCATTCTCCCCATTCCCTCTCTCCCGACTTTCCCCCCCTTGTTCTCGCTCCCCCTCCGATTCCCTGAATTAAAAAGCACCAAAAATTCCTTACGTGGAATAAAAAATTCCTTCCTCAACCTCTGGCCAGGCATCCACATGCCACAGTCTTGGGTTTCCCGGGATTTATCCCAAATTATCCCAGCTGCCTTCCCAAATCATGCTCTTGCTCCCAAAACATGAACAGATCCATGGCTTCCCTTTCCCAGACCCTGTCCCAGGTTGAAAATTGGGAATAAATCTCTTGGAAGAGCTGCCTATGATGTCGGGACTCCCTGGAGTGTTTGAAAGGGATTTCGGGGATTCCT